CTCCCCGCGGAGGTGACAGTGGCAGCTGCATGAGGCTATCCAGGCATTGGTCGTGAGTTCCCAGGCTGTGGGCATTTCCTCAAACCAGGTCCCAGTGTACTGGTGGCTCGAGGCGGGGGGTCCCTGGCAGGGTGTTGGACTTTGGAGCAGTTCTGCTGCTTCTGCAGCAGTGGTGGAGGATCCAAGGTGGGATCGTGGGGACCAGGTGCAGTGCTGGAATCTCAGGGTGGTGTCCAGGGCCTAGCAGGAGCTCTGCTCACCAAGGTGGAGCCTCGGGCTCCAATGTGTGAGCCTCAGAGCTGAGACTGGGGAGGAGCCAGAAGTAGGGCTTCTGAGCAGGGCCTCAGAGCCAGAGGCAGGGCTGTGCATGTGGTGGGGCTGATCTGCCCTGCAGAGCAGGTCAGGGCTGAGCAGGCTGCAGGCAACTGGGACCTGGAGGGTGGAGTCAGGGCCAAGCATGTGGTGAGCTGTCCCACAGGCTCAGGGACCACGTGGATGCCAAGTCACATGGGCAGAGGTCGGCTCCAGTGGCCCAGGGACTGTGGAGTTCTCCCCACAGCCCCCAGGACCCACCAAAGCAGTTGCCCAAAGCCTCCCAGGTCAGAGCCTGTAGCACCCCAGTCAGTTCCCATGCTCAGATCCTGTTGCGGGGGTACTTGGCTTCCAGTCACTGGGTACAGCTTAGAGGAGCCTCCGGTCGGTCCGCTCCCTCCCTAGCCCAGTGGGGGCAATGTGAAGACCACAGCCACAAAGCTGAGTCCCGTGCCAACCTGGTGCCAAGTACCCGAGAGCTCAGGGTGGCTTTAGCTGCTGCCTGATCCCCACTGCACCTGTTTTCTGGTGCAATGACTCTGCACAGACTCCAGGCACATCCCCAATGTGCGGCAGCAGAGAGAGCCCTCTCACAACTTGACCACAGTGCCTGCAGGGTGAACACGGTGCCCCAGCACTATATCTTGCTAATCTTCCCTGTGTGTGCTTTGATATTATCAAATGTATCGCCCGATCACCTTTTTTTTCCCGGAGTCCCGACTGCTTCTCTGTGGTTTCACAGTGTTCGTCTGAGAATAGCTGTCTGTAGGTAGGCACCTGCTTCCTCTTTACTCTTCTTTCCTTGGGAGCTGCAGGTTCACATGCTGCTTCTAATCCACCTTTTTTTTTCTGGAGGATTTTTATCCTGTGTAACAGTTTGGCTGCTGTACTAGGTTGAATATTGTCTCCCAAATATTCATAACCACCTGGAACCTGTGAATGTGAACATATTTGGAAATAGGGTCTTTATGGATATAATTGAGTGAAGATAAGATCATACTGGATCAGGGTGAGCCAGAGATTGGCGTGATGTATCTACAAGGCAAGAAATGCCAAGGATTGTTGACAAGCACCAGCAGCTAGGTAGAGTCAAGGAAGAATTCTTCCCTGGAACCTTCAGAGGCAACATGCCCTGCCAACACCCTCACTTTGGACTTCTAGCCTCCAGAACTATAAAAGAATAAATTTCTGGTGTTTTAAGCCACCCAGTCCGTTGTACTTTGTTACAGCAGCCCTAGGAAACTAATACAGCTGCTAATAACATAAACCTCGGGGGAAAAGCAGAATAAATAAATTAGATTATTGTTTTTCACAAGTAAAAGAAACCCAGAGGTCTAAGCAGATATGGTGGCTCCATACAGTGCTCCAAGCCACTCCTTTTAAGCTGTGGTTTTCATCACAGCTCTCGCCTTTACCACCACTTTCCTTCTCAACTTACCCCTGCAAGCACCACCATACCACTCTTGAGTAGATGGATTTGTGGGAGGCTCACAGCAAAACAAGGCATCCAAGGGAGGATGGCTAGGACTTCCTGGTTCACAGGATTTTCAGGCAGTGTGGCCAGTATGATTTTGTAAGATTTCGTGTAGACACTGATACTTCTGTATTGGGATAGTAAATCTATGTCCCTAAACTCAGGTGTGCCAAAATCTTGCTCTAAAGTTCCATAGTTCTGTTCCCACCAATGGCAGTCAAAGGACTTAAACTTATCAATTAAAGGCAACTCAGTCTCTTATAGGTTAACCATTTCATCTGAGCAAATGCTCATACTTAGTTTCTCTACTCTGCCTCTTCTCCCTGCCAAGATGGTGCCAGGGTTCTGGGATGGGCTCACATGTCTCTTTGTTTGAAGAAGGGCCTCTGAGTGCCCTCCAGGTCCTTGTTGGCCTCTAAGGAGAGCTTTGTTCCTGCACATTTCTGGGTCTCTGTTCCCAATGGAGCCACTGGCTTTCCCATGAGCCTATAATCTATGACCCTAAAGGCCGTTGGTCTTTGTTGCTGCCATTACCTTGTTGCTGCCATTACCTGGCAATGTTGCCAGATCTTTTTGCTTCAGGATGTGTTCCACCACAGACTATCAAAGAGGCAGGCAGGAGACCTCACGTTTGGTTTCGGTAGACTTATCCTTTGTGCTGGCCCCCTGCATTGTGGGTATGGCCTCTAGGGGCCAACTTTCCATTAGACCCTTGGACTTAAAAAGCCACCTGTGCTTCCTCTAGATGTCCTGATGCTCCTGCCTCCACTGGTTGAGCTCCCTCTTGGGGCCTAGGAGCAGTCCCCATGGTGGCCTTTGCTTATCCAGCAAGAGCTGGGAAATCTGAGCCCACCCTGCAGCTCAGCAGGGACAGAACCCACTGCCCTGTCAAACCACCTAGTGCTATGTGCCACGCTGCCTCAGCCAGCCCTCAGGCCCTCACAGCTCCACCTGAAAAGCCACAGCAGCCTCAGTCCTCTAAACAGTGGTCCCTAACCTTTCTGGCACTAGGAATCAGTTTCGTGGAAGACAGTTTTTCCACGGGCGGGGCAGGGAGGCGGAGCTCAGATGGTGATGTGAGCAACGGGGAGCAGCTGCAAATACAGACGAAGCTTCACTCGCTCACGTCCTGCTATGTGTCACCCCCCGCCTCACCCCCCAGTTCCTAAGTTTCATGGACAATTTTTCATGGCTGGCAGGGGGAATGGGGCAGTGGAGCTCTGCGGCCCGGTCCCTAACAGGCTGTAGACCAGTAGTGGTCCACCGCCCAGGGGTGGGGACCACAGCTCTAAAAGACCCACAAAACTACTTCTTGTCAGTTTTCTGTAGTTGGTTGTTGTTAATGTCTTGTTGAGTGGATTCTGTGTTGTTTTTTTATTGAGAGAGAACAAGTTGTTACAGGCTTTTAAGGAAACCAAAAACATTTGCTCTCTAATTATATCTATTATTCTATTCTCATTCAACTTGCTTTCTTGTTTTGGAGCAGCCTTTCTACTAGCCAAAACTCCAGTCAAATTTTCTTAATAAATAAAAGCTGCTGTTTTTCTGCTGTGGTATGTGAGAGGACTTGTCAGCATGGTTCTTACTGAAGATTCTAATAAATTGTCAGGCTGGAAGCATGTTGATGGTATCAGTCTTTGCCTTGCCCCGTACTGGAAATAGTTTTTGGAAATATTTAGAACAGCAATGTTTTGAAATGCAAGTTCCAAGAGTGTTTTTCATGTTTGTTCCTTCAGTCGATCAGTAAATACTTAACTGTGTACCTGTAATGCACCGGGCATTATTCTAAGGACTGGAAATACAAACCTGAGCAAGAATGTCTTGAAGCTTATACCCTGTTAGGGGAGGATGGACAACAAAAAAGCCAGCAAATATGTGTGAGCACGTCAGACAGTGGCGGGCGCTTATAAATACAGTGACACAGATGATGTGGTAGAGACTAGACAGTGACTTGGGGGCTGCTTTAGGTTGGGTGGGCAGGAAGGCCACTCTGAGGAGACAGCACTGGACAGAAAGGCAGACAGTGAGGAGGAGACTGCCTAGATCCGGAGACAGCCTCCGGGCCAGGGACACAAGTGTGCCGGCTCCGCCTCAGCCAGTGCGACGCTGAGCGAGCGAGGAGTGATACGCTGGCTCTGCTAGCCGTGGGGGCCAAGCGTGGAACTCAGGCATTCAGGCAGAGACTGGGACAGCTTTGTTGGGCAAATGACTAAGAATATAGCATGTAAGACATTATAAATAGGGCATTTTTAAGGCCACAAAAAATAAGAAAGCTGTTAAGGAGGGCGAACATACTTATTGTAGTGACTCTCAAATTGGTGCACCTGTCAGTATCTTTTTAATTGTGCCCTCCCCATCAATACATTCTCCTGTATGGCCCCAGGCTTCTCCTGCTTCCCCTGAGCTCTCCTGAGAATCCCATGCCAGGCCCTGACGGGGCTGCGTGCATCCCACAGGCATGTGGAGGCGGGGAGGGCTAAGGGCCACCGCGTGTTTAACAGACCAGTGGGCAACCCAGATGGTCAGCAGCTGGCTTGGCAGGTCCTTAAGGTCAGGTCTGGAGAAAAGACTTCCCATGTTGAGGCTACGTCTCCTAGAGGAGATGGAGAAACAGAGACAAACGGCTTCTGTGAAGACCCTGGGTTAAGTCATGCTGATTCCATAGGCGTTGTCATCTGAGAGCAACCTGCAGTGCCATCACTGCGGCCTCTTATTTTTACTATTACATTGAAATAGCAACATGTTTTACATGTTTTATAAACCCTTAAAGACGGTTTCTTTATTAATTTCAGTCACCTGGAAAGCACTGATCTTTAGAGAGAGGTGAGTTAACACGACTGAACTGTGAGGCAGTGTATTCCTACACTTTTCAGCCTAGGTCGAAAAGCTTCTTCACAGAGACTGGATGAATGGTCCAGGCTGTCAGCCCATCATATGTCAGCAAGAGGTGCCCTGGCCTCTCGTTGGAGGGAAGACACCTCTGTCATTATGACAGCACACGCATGTAATATCGGAGGGAAGGCTGTGCACCCCAGGCCCAGTGCTGCCCTCTCTACTCATCCCGGCAGCTCCCCATCTGCGGTTTGCAGAGCATCCTTGGTAGGAAGAGTTGCTAGGAAATTTGGCAGAAAATTCCCAAGCTTGTCTGAAGTTATGGTGTGACAGCAGGTAAGTTATACTCATTAGTTATAAAATGCTGTTCTTCTATTTTCAGTAAATATTCAAGATGTGATATTACAAGAAAATTTGGAAAAAGAAGATCAAATTCTGGTTTCCCTGGCAGGATTAAAACAGGTATGTGCATTGCTCTGACAAGTCTTCTTTGTGTCCTGCTGCTGTGGGGAGGGCACCCTAGGGCATGGAGTACCATGATGTTAGAGCCAGCGTCCCCTGGTCCTTCATTTCTTCCCAGAAAGCCCCCTTCTGAATCTCCACCTCCTTATGCCCGTATTCTTTCCAATGATTATTGTCTGTTTAGCTTGTAGCCCACACTGGTTTTCCATTTGCTCTTACCAAACCCATTCTGTTTGTTCTTCAGCCAAAGCCAGTGTGCCATAAATCAGCATCGTGTTCAGTCATCTATAAATTATGGATGTCCTTGGAGCACAAGTCATAATCGATACCTACCGTAGACTGCAGACCCTCAAGGGCCATATTTACCCAACGTTTCAAGATCTAAATGGGACATAAATGTCAATGAAAAAGAGTGTGCTGTTCCTAAATGCCTACCTGTGTTATGAACAGACCAGCGGTGGTAGAGTCACTCTAGCGGCCAAGGTGTGCAGTGGAGCTGAGTGTGTAGGCAAATGTTGCTTCCTGCCTTAAGATAATTGCCAAGGATGTGACCCTCGCTTCTTACCCTGTGAGAACCTGGCCATTAATGCCCTGACATTTTCCTTGGTCATTGCTAAGTCAGCAGCTTTCATAAAGTTGGATTTTTTCCCGTTATTTCTTTCATAATGGTGTAAAATGTTAACATCCATGCTATAAAAAAAACAGTTGATAACAAGCCTAGTTTAAGTGTATGAGGGATTTAGCTAACATTTAAAAAGAAACTCATTCATCTTTTTCATTTATTTTCTTATTTGAAAATAGATCAAAGACATTCTAAAAGGTTCCCTGCGTTTTAACCAGAGCCAGCTAGAGGCCGAGGAGAATGAGCAGATCACCATCGCAGACAACCACTACTGCTCCAGCGGCCAGGGCCAGGGCCAGAGCGACCAGGTGCCCGGGGCCACCAAGCAGGTATAGGAGCTCTGATGAACATGTTATGTTAATTCGAAGGGAGCACATCCACATAAGTCCTTCAAAGTTATGAATAACAAAAACCCTACCAGAGTTATTTCACATTGCCATGTGTAAAGTTCAACTGTGAAATACCACAAGTAGCCTGAGGCAGGAGTGCTGTCTATAGCTGTGCAGGTTGTGCGCTCTGGTGCCGGAGGGGGGCCGTTCACAATGATAACGGCGAGGACGGCGTCTCCTAGAGCTGTGCTGTGCCGGGCCCACAGATGCATAAACGCCTGTGCAGTAGCGTTCGCCTGAGCCTCTGCCACAGCCATTGCGTGGGGGAAGCCAGACCTCTGCCGTAGTTCTTGGTCAATTGCCTCCAGCCGACGCCTCCATTCCAGTGCTTTCCTAGTGCAGACTTGAGTGTATCTCACTTGGCTAGAACATATTTGGCCAAAATTACTTTCTTGCCTTCTTGGGAAAGGGCTTCTCATTAATGTCCACCTCTAAGGCAGGGGTCAGCAAGCTTTCTGTAAAGAGTCAGAGAGTAAATATTTTAGGATTTGCAGGCCACATGTGGTCATCTCTATCATATACTTTTTTCCTTTGTTTTTTGTTTTTGTTTTTTATATAACCCTTTAAAAATGCATAAGCCACTCTCAGCTTGAGGGCCACACAATAGCAGGCCACAGGCCAGATTTGGCCATGGTTTGCTGACCCACGCTCTCAGTGTGTATAATTTACTCTAACATAGAATCACATGATTTCACTGCTAAAAGGATCTTAGAGCTTCCTCATGTGCTCAGCCCTGCCTGCCCCTTTCACCAGTGAGAAAACGAAAGGCAGAAGGGCACCCAGGCTCACTGGGCAGGGGCACCCCTTGCCAGGCACTGTCTGCAGAACCCCCACCCCCACCCGCAAGCTCCACCTCCCGCCTCGCTGGGCATTATCTGACAAGACTAAAAGATTGTTCATTTCCCATTTAGATTTTAAATTCCAAATAATATTTTTTAAAAATCAGCTTACAAAATTTCATCATGAAAAATGAACGTTAACAAAATCTTATCTAAGTCACTTTCTCAAGAACTAGCATTCACATGCTTGAAAATTATTTTCTGTGTGATTTTAAAACAGCAAAATGACATTTGAATGGGAATTTTTTCAGTTTTAAGGGCACTCTTCAAGAAGAGAGAACTTTGTGGTTAAACTTACTTTTAAAGCCATGTGAAATTTTCATGGAGTGCTTTGACTGCATTTTCAGCCATGTGAATGCAACGTTGACATTGCCTATTTAATTTGATTAGTTTCTCCAAATTCTCCTCCCTGCATAGATGTTTTATTTTTTAATAATCATTTATTTATTCGAAAATTTTTGAGCATAGGTCCACCCACCAACCATTTTTAACTGACAATTTTATTTAAAACTTTAGCATAATTTTTTAGTTGAATGTGTAAAAATACTGCAGAAAAAGACTTTTCAAAAACACTAAATGAACTTGCTAAATTTAAAACTTCTTGATTATACTTTGCAATTGTCTCTACCCCTTCCCTGCCATGGCCCCTTCCCCATGGCTGTTAGCAGTTTATAAAAAACCAGTACTCCTCAAAAACGTTTTACTGAGAAAGGGAGAAATAGGGAAGCCGTGCTCTCCTCTCTCCTTCAGGGGAGGAAAGGCAAGAGAAATCCCAGATGCGAGCAAGCAAGTCAGACCGACGAGCCCAGAGTGTGGGGCCTCCCGCTGCAAAGCCCAAGGATCTGGGCTACACTGATAAGGAGCCAAGGGGTCTACCAGGCTGGAAGCCTTGACCACCTTCTTCCTATAGGAGCCTGTGTCCCAAGCCGTGGGGCTGCCATCAAGCTTGGAGCCGGCTGAGTTTTCCGTCTCACTGTTTGTGTGAAGAGGGCAGAGGGGACACTGGCTGTGGACAGGCTACATGCATCCCAAGGAACACGCATCCCAAGTGTGCCAAGTGGGAGTTCTGAAGGCTTCTGAATGTGTTTTGAGGACCTGCTGTGCCAGGAACTGGGTATCAAGGCTATGGGATGTAGCTCCCGCTTTCGCGAGCATCCAGCTATGGGGGATGGGGGAGCAGTGCTCGCTAGGCAGGCTCTTGAGACATTTTCTTGAGATGTAAGCACCACATGTCAGCCTGTGATGGATTGTGCCTTAGCTCATTTCTAACTTAGGGATGGGTTGTTTTTGCTTTCTTGGTTAATCACTAACGTATGTCTAAAGGATAGTTCAGAAGGACCAGGCTCCCTGGCCTGGGGCAGATGGCTCATGGCCCTCCTGCTGTCCCCTTCCCCATCAGGAACCACGGAAGGTTCTTCCTCTGTGGAAATGCATATGCCCCGCTCCCCTCTGTGAGGTTGGTGGTGACAGGGCTAGTATTGTTCTTTCAGTTTGATTTACACATTTTATCTCCATCTCTAAAAACAGCAGAGTGGAGTGAAAAGAGTCACACTCTCTACCTCCCTTCCCCGAGTCTGTCCTTTATGTACTCCTCTGGGAAGCGTTTGATGAACTCACTCACATCCACTGCAGTAAAAGGCAGGACTTTGTTAACCAACCCATCACATGCCTTTCTGGCACTTGGTCCCATGTTTTTATCTGTATACTGGCTCATATCATAGCCACTAGCCATGTGTATTTATTTACAATTAAATTTAAATTTATTAAAAGTCAATAGAATTAAAAGTTAAAAATTCACTTCCTCAGTCACACTAGCCACTGTTCAAGTGTTCAGCACACACATGTGGCTCAGGGCCGCTCTGTTGGACAGCTCAGATGACAATATTTCCATCATCAGAGAAAGCTCCTTTGAACAGCGCTGCTCTGCAATTGACTCGCCTGTTCCTCCATGATCCTGAGCTCAAGCTAGGAAATGAGGCAGGTTGGGAGAGAGGGCAGGAAGGGGAGAAGGGGACATATATTGTGGTGGTCCTGGCCAGCCTGACAGGTTAAAAACTTTTCTAATTGTGCGAGACATGCCTGTATCTGGCAAAAAGAAAGGATTGACTTAGGAATTTACAAAACTTCTGTAAATGATATAAATGGCACCAGGCAGTGGTTAAGGCTGCTATGGAAATCCATAAAGAAGCCATCTTTGTGTCTAGAAAAAAATTCTAGGTGGGTATCTAGACAGCAGTGTCTTTGAAATTTTTTTGTTACATTGGCCAAGCCACTAGGCCTCCTCCCTGGGCTTCCTTTTTTGACTTATAATGTGAAGGGCCAAGGAGGGGGTTGATAAAGAAGGCAGTTGCAAAGGCCCTGTCAGCTCTAACATGCTTTGTCTAGCCAGTCTATGACCCTTATCTGGGAACTGGGGGGCATCATGTCAGATAAGTAGAGTCATGTATCCTTACTTCTAGTCATAGGCTTTGAAAAGTGTGTCTCCTCTTCAAAGTCTTGCTGACATCTTCACTGTAAGCTAAAGGAGAGTAAGTGATAATGATTCTTCTGTAGTAGCAGCACTCCAAAAATAGGGTCCACTGTATGTGTCCTTTTATTTTCAACTAAGATAAGCTCTACTAAGTACATTCCAGCCCTGCTTTTTTGTGACAGATCAAGGTTTTCACAGTTTACGATGCATATGAACAAAGTGTCCATGTTCTGGAAGCAGGAAGTCAATCCCAAGGGCCTGTGTTGATTCCCCAGCAGCCTTAGGTGCTTACCACGCGTGGAGCTGGAGGAGAAGACTCCGCAGAGGCGGCCTCGCTCTGACCAGGTGCACCTTACACAGGGGCAGTAATGGGAATGCGGTTTGATTTCTTTCCCTCCAACTCAGAGAAAAGACAGTCCCCCTCTACCAAACAGCTCTAGTGCCATCCCAATCACATGCCCTCCTATCAGAGTGCCGTGTGCTATGTATTGTTTTCATTTTTGTAAGAATTAAGGTGTTAATACAATGTAAACAGCTTTAGAAGTTGAGATGAAGCACCTCAAGGCCTGTTGTTCCAGCACTGTGAAAGGAAAATTCCATTTCTGTTCTCCAGCTGAATGTCTTAAAGGTTGATGAATTGCCAGAGGAAGGTCAGAGATGGAAGGCATGTGTGCCATTATTGAGCTGCTCACCCTACCCCCGCCATGTCACTGAGGGGGTGAGAGATTGAGAGAGGGGCCTGGCAGTCACGGCTGGAGGCCAGATCCCCTCATGAGCCCTGCTGACTCTGTTTCCAGGCTCTGCCTAGGCCATGCCGGTCTGCAGGCCCAAGGACTCAGGGGCACTTCCAGCCAAGGGGCTCCACACCTCCATTAGACTTGAGATCCCTACACTAGTCCCCGCCACGCCGCGGGGAGGGCAGGCAGGCAGGGTTGGGGAAGTGGGTGTGGGCACTGCGTCAGCTGACGTCGCCACCAGGTGAGGCATTCTTTCTACCAGGCCAGCATTGGACATCCTTGCTCAAACTATAACTTTGCTACCCCAAAACCTTTACCTGTGTTCATGGATGTTAACTTCTTTAAGTTAAAAAATAAAAAGCCACTCATAATTGCTTAGAAAGAAGGGAAAATGATTGTAGACTAAAGCAATTCTGTCTCTATACTTTTTGCCATTATACTTTGCAGTTGCCATTCTTGGTTTTCAGATTTGTAGAACCTGCTGGTTACCACCATTGCCCCAGGAGACCCCCATGTGCCTACCCAAGATGAGCTAGCTATGGGATCTGTATGAGAAGAAACACACCTTTGAGCAGAGTAGTAAAATCACTCCAGATCCTGCAGCTCTTATTAGGGAGACAGTCTTGTACGATTCGCATCCACGCATGTCATCTCCCTGCACTGTGACTGCACACCAGGAGGGAGGCACTGTCCTTACCCCATTGCATTTCATCGAGAGCATTAAAGCTCAAGGAAGATGAGTGGATCACATGGCAGAGTCCCACGTGAGACTGGTAGAGATTCTGCCTGCAGCCTGTTAGCTGGCTCCTGAGCCCGGGCTCTGCGTGGCAGCATAGACGCTGCCTCTCCCTGCTGTTTATGAAGTAGGAGGTTTACTTTGTCCTCCTGAGAAACCAGCATTCAGCTTCAGGAGTGCTCAAAAGGTGCTGCTGGCCCTGTGCCACTGGTAAATGCCTGGGCCTCGGGACAGCAGGCCCAAACACTATGCCTTTCCACGATAGAACACGGGGAGAGATGGCCTGGCTGTCCAGGGAGTATTCCCAGCCTCACACGGCCCTCCACTCAGTTCTTTGCCGGTTTCTTCTCTCATCCACCTGTACTTCTGACTGTATTTCACAGGCCTCTTCAGAAATGCCAGTGTGTGCAGATAAAGGGAGCTCAGACGACTTCATCCTGGTTTCCAAAGAAGAGGATGGGGGCAGTGCCAGAGGGCCCTTCTCGGGCCAGGCCCAACCTCTTCGCACCCTCAGAAGCATGTCTGGGAAATGCCAGGCCACAGCCTGCTCCCCACTGGTGTTCTCAGACCCACTGATGGGCCCAGCCTCAGCTTCCTCCAGCAACCCCAGCTCCAGCCCTGATGACGACAGCAGCAAGGACTCTGGCTTCACCATCGTGAGCCCCCTGGACATCTGATCGCTGTGCCCCAGTCCTGCCTCACAGGGATCCAGCCTCCCCCTCAGTGGCCCAAGGCCAGGCTGAGGCTCCCCCAGTGGAGACACCTCTGAAACCGATGCTTCTTCCCAGCATGCATTTGGCATTGGTACAGCCCATTGGAACCCTTTAGAGAGAAGCAAATATGGCCACAAAGCACAGACTTACCTTCAACAAAATGCAGACAGGGCTCTCTAGGCCCTTACCTAACCCTTACCCACTCTTGCTCTGAGTGAGAGCTGGATTAAGTACTCAGTATCACACTCACAATCAGGAAAGACCAAGCAATTAGAATTATTTCTCTGCCCCCTTCTCCCTGACTAAGAGGGTATGGCAACTCCATTGATTATATTAATATTTAGAAAAAGGAGGAAGAATTGGTTTCAAATCTTCCCTGCCTCGAAGCATCAGGCATAGGAAAATTGGTTGATACCAAGAAGCTTCCTCTGTGGGAATCTATGTCTCAACCTACCTGATTCCCACACTGGGAAGCCATATAGCAGAGCCAAATGCCATAGAAGGAACTAGAGCCAGTGGATTCTAGGGCTGGAAAAAACCATTACTGACCTCTCAAAGTTATCATGATCTTTAGAAACAAACTCAACTTAGGAATCATATTTATGTGTGATGTGGTGTTAGATCTTTTTTTGATTTGTTAAAGAATACATTCCCAGTCCTCAGGCTGAATTGACTTTGGCCATCACTGTCCCTCCTTAAACAATTATATTTCACCTGTTAGAATCGTTCACAGCCAGAAAACATGGTCACTTTAAGCCAGTCTTTGCTGCACTGGTTTCAAAAGTTGTAAGAATATTACTATCCTTGAACTGGAAAATGTGACCCTGACTTGATGGGATAAATATCTTTCAGATAGTAAATTTTCTGGTTAAGTTTCTCTAGGTTCGGCGCTGTACATACCGATCAACTGATGAGTAAAGGGAAAACCCAAGCTCATTCCCATCCAGAGTCCGAATCCCACCCTGGCCTTAAGATAGCAGGAAGAGGGAATTAGACCTGGAGTCCTTCTGTGGTAACAAGGCTTCCTAGACGACATTCCAGATGCCAGGAGGATGCAGGGTTTGTACACAGCCCCTTCCCTTGCGGGGAGCCAAGTGCGGGAGCTGCAGGGCCTGTGCTCAGCTCTGAACTCTGTCCTGGGCGCCACTGCCGGGACCAGGTCTGACGTGCCGGTGCCTCCTTGGGCTTCTGTGCAGATTAGAGAGTCTCCCTCTTGACAGTCAGAAGCTTAGGAAACCATGGTGGGCACAGAGCATCACATGAGCTGTTTCTGTCCTTAAAGGAGGAGCTCCCTGGAAAGGACGCTTCGCTCACCTTTGCCTGAGCAGGAATGAGACAGGAATGGGTGGGCACTGCAGGTAGACACGGTACCTGCTTCTCCTTCAGGCAGAGCAGCCCTTGCTGGCAACAGCTGGCTCTTTGAGCCTCTCCTGAGAGGACAGGCCTCTGGCAGTGGAAGCTTCAGAATAACAAATGAAAGCTAAGTGTGAGGGAATTGACGCCATGTCTGTCCTTCCCACTGCTAACCGTGTTTCTATACAGACAAATGCGACAATGACATGATTTCCCTCTCACTGTCCAAGAAAATGGTGATGACTCTCGAGTCAGCTACTACAGAGAGGGTTCTAATTAGCTCTGCAATTTGTCCTTAAACTCAAGCAGGGAAATCTCCTCTGACCGCATCAGTGTGTAAGGATGAGTAACAGCTCTGGTTTTGCCAGACAGCGGGGTTGTCTGGCCTCCCACGATTGGGCAACTGCTCGGCAGATGCGCTAATAGCTCCCTGGCTCCTGGCTGAGTTGTCCTCTCAGCACCTCTGAGCTGCTGCCAAGTACATGTCCGTGTGATGACACTTTGTGAGCTCCAGGGCCCCCATGCAGTGAGTGGCCTTAGAACTGTTCAGGGGTTGCCATTGGATACTTTCTCACAAAGGACTTCGCTTGGGAAGGTGTCGGTGTTTTCAGGTCTAAGGTAAGAAGTGTGGAGCTGTCCCCTCTAGAACAGAGACTGGAAAGGACCACAGAACTGCCACCTTCTGGCAGCCGGGCACTGTTGTCTGCGCACCTCTAGCATTTCCTCTGTCCTGAGAGGTAGAGTCATGATCGCTGAGTGTCACTGGCCACACGAGAGTCACTGGCACCCACCATGCCAGTAAGGCTCTCGGCTGGTTCCCTGTGGTTGGCTGGGTGTTCAGTAGTCACCGAGCACTCCCAGCCCTGCCCACGCGCCAGGGGCAGGTCCTCTCCATCCTGCGCTGCTGTGTAGGTGCCACGTGCGGACGGTGGGTTCACTCAGCGGTGTTTCTGTGGCCCCGGCAGGCGCCTCCCTCCTTGGAGGAGAGAGACCCGCAAGGGCAGTGGACACAGGCAGTTCCCACAGGTTCACGCTCAGAGAATCGTATTGCTGTCCTGTCTTTTCTAAGTGACGTTTTTTTATTCTTCATAGTTGAACATTGTTTGCATTTTTATTAGTTACAGTGCTATTAAAGATATGTGTTCCTTTGTATTATTTTATCAAGTACTTATGTTTAATTGCACATTTAAAAAGTCCTGAATATATGAAACCTCTTTGTTTTTCCTTAACAAATGTGGTAATCAGCAGAACCCCTCTTGTGCTTTGATTGTTAGCAGTTAAGTACATTTTATAAACGTAAAGCTTAGATTAACTCCCATTGTCAACTACTTTTTTAATACATGCTCCTGTGTGTTTCAAGCATTCCTCTGTGATCATATTAGAAATCTGAGTTAAAATGTATCTCTGTACATTACATATGAGAGTTACAAACTAGAGAAAGGGAGTCGTAATTACTTCGCCTTACCTTGTGTGTATGCCAAGGGGTCACATAACTCTTCAAACATTTAATTATACTGGATTATGCTTCCAAAGTTCAGTGATAACTGCAATCTGAAAAGAAATAATATCACTGCAGAATGAATGTGACTGTAAAAATAAACCAAGACCTCCCTGGGATTTGCCTTCCCTGCCCATGACCGAGCTGAATCTCCTTCCGCTGTCAGTCCTCGGGCAGCGCTGAGGAAGCTGCCGCGGGGTCTGGTGGCCTGCGCCTGACAGGAATGCTGCCTTTACTGTGTCAGAATGCCGAACAAATACAGAACTCTGACAGTCATGCTGTCTCCTAACGATAACCTGCCATAGTTGATCCACATTTATTACTTTGTCTTTATTGTACTGTTTTTTAAGAAACTGCCCCCAGGGTCCATTACAGGACAGGAGTGTGCGTGGAGGACTTAGGTCCCCACGTGCTGAGTGGCCGTGCTGTGGAGCCACGGCCGGTTCCGTCCCTCCTCCCCTGCCGCTGTGTGTCCAGAGCAGGTGCACTGGGAGGCCGGGAGCAGGAGGGGGCGATGGATTGAGGCAGCAACTGGCAGGCCAGGCTTCCTTCTCAAAGGCCAGCCCGCTGTCGCAGTGTTACTTTGAAAAGCTCTCTTTTTATAGTGTTGAAAAGAAATATAAAGTTCATCTAAACAGGCTTGAGACCACTTTGATGTAAAAGCTGTCATCATAATTTTTCTCACAGTGGCACAATTGGTTTGACTGATGGAATACTCAGTTGTGCCATTTGTATCCTGTCGCTTTTTTCTCATCCATCTTCATGCTCTAACTCACATTGGTTTAAGAAATGATTTATCCTTTTGGCAAAGTGATCCCATGCAATATGGTTATAATAAAAGACTAATGTGAAACTGAGACTGAGGCTTGACGTGTTCGAGGCCGGGAGTGAGGGCACAGGTGCGGACCAGGCCCAGCCCGGAGCGCCCCTGCAGTGCACGGCCAGGTGGGCGTGGTGATGGGCCATGCCCGGCCGGGAGCGGGCCGTGCAGCCTCAGCACTGTGCCGGCCTCACTGCATCCCTGCTCGGGCCCCAGGCCTGGCTCGGGGCTCACACCCAACTCTTGTCATTCCCTTCCTCTCCGACCTGGGCAAGGTGATTAACCTCTGGGGCCTCAGTTTCTTTATCTACAAACTGAGGATAATAGTAGTCACCTACTTCATAGGGTGTGGCGAGGATTAGCCAGGATAACACACCTACAGCACAGAGCCTGACAGAGCATGGGGTGCAGGGCAGTTTCAGGGTGAGTCATGCAGTCCACCCCTTCCATTGATAGCCAGGACCTCAGAGGCTTCCTGAGGCCCAGGTCCCACCTCGGGGCAGCCCTGCTCGGCCTGCTGGTCCCAGACACCATTTGGGGGGCAGCCCCAATGGCTTGCCACCCACCTTCCCACTTCCGCCAGCACCAAGTTTGCCCTGAAGCCTCACTTAGCCAGCTAACATGGGGTTTGGTGAAAAGGCCACAGGGTGAGGATGGGGGAAAAGTAGGTACACTCTAAGTCTTACGTGGCAAAGAAACTGAGACGGGGCAGGGGAGACCTTTACAGCTTAGGCAGAGCTGTGAAGCCAGCCCACCTGAATTTGCACCCGAGCCCATCTCTGGCCTAGGCCTCTGTCCCAGGCCCAGCCAGCAAGTGGCTTTTCCTTCAGTGGGGCACGGTCCCTCCGCACAGGTTCTGTTGTCAAAAGGCTGAGAGCCGGTTCACTACTCAGCTGGCTCGTGTGAGCGAGGGGGACACGTACTTCTGCAGACCAGTGACAGCCACACATGCCCTGGCACCCCCCTGTTCGCCATGAGTGCCTCACTCGTGCCCTCAGAACTGAGCACGTCAGCGCTGCTGACACTTCCTCCTGCCCTGCCTGCCCCTCTGCCTGAAGTCGGGGTCCCCCGCCCCAGGACCCTGCTCTGCTGCCAGAGAGTTCGAGGGAATTACACATCCTGGAGCAGCTGCCAACCAAAGGCTGAGGAGTCAGTAGTAACAGCTGGGCCCCCTCGCCCACGGTGGGGGGGGTGGGGGACGACCCTACGGCGAGTGTTGGTGGCTCCCCAGAGCCTTCCTGCAGGGTTAAGCTCCAGCCGCTGGCGCCTGCCCACCCCTGGATCCTCTCTCGGAGTCTGCTTCTGGGGAACCCAAACTAAGACACCCTCCTTCCTGGGCGCCCGGCTCCCCCTGCCAAGGCGGGTGGAAGTGCGGGAGGCCGCAGGTGGTCGGGTTGGGCCAGAGTCCACGCAGACAGCGGGTGCCGAGAGCCTTCCTCCCCCGTTTCTGAGGTTAGCAGAGGAGCAACTTCACTCGCGCCTTCAGCGGGCGGGGAGCCTGCGTGGGAGTTCCCGCTTCCAGGCCCAGCGAGTCGCCAGCCCCACGAGTGAGCGCCACCCACGGCTGATCCTGCCCCGCTGGAGGAGCTACTGAGAGCTCCATTTTCATTCGGTAATTTGACTCTGCCACGGCCAGCATTCTCGCCTTTTAAGGATGTGTCTGTGTCATCAGAAACTTCCCTCCGAAAGCACATCTGTTCGTGGAAAGGGACGGCTCCCACAGAAAGGTGGAGGGCCCTGGAAACACACAGGGATGACACACTGACCCCGGGGGCACACAGCATCAGTCCAATTTTTCCTCCAGCAAACTCAGCTGAACACCCTTAAAGTGTGAGGCTGCGTGGGTGCTGGTGACACAAAATGCCCTTCAAATAGCCAGGAAAGGGTGGAAGCGACATGTTTCTATATTAGGAACAGACACAGAAAACAATGAAATACCAGAGTAGCCCAGAGGAAGTCCTCCATCCAGCCCTGGAGACTTCAGAGGCAGACAGGTGAGTTGCACGGGGACAGCCGCCACCCTCCCCCTCGGAGAGGCCAGGGGGCCACTGCTGCCAGTCAGCGCCAGAGGAGCTGTGGCCCCACAGCAGCCGGCAGGACGCATTTTCCCACAGGCACGTGCTGTGACGGGGGCTGGCCCCTCCCTGAGGACCGTCCAACCGTTCGGTGGTCACCAGCGATGCGTGCACGGGCTGCGTCCGCTGCAGGAGCCTGGAAGGCCCCGAGTGCACGGCATTGTCCAGTGGCAGTTCCGGAAGCCGCCTGGTAGCAGGAGCCCCTCCCGCATCTCTCAGGCTCAGAGAAACGCAGGATCCATTTATTAAATGTATTTAATACTTAACAGGGTGTAACTACAAGGGTGAGGGGGCTGCAGTGGGTGTCACCTCCCTACAGGATGCCACCAAGGGAAGGATGGCCAGCAAAGGCCCTGCCTGAAAAGGAGTTTGCCCTTCACTGTCCTCCAACAGCGTGCTGGGCCCTCGACAAGGCGTCCCCCCTGCTGCCTCCTCAGCTCCTGCCGCTGGTCCCGCAGCTGCCCAGAGACCACACCCGGCCCGGCTGGCCCACACACGGCCTCCCCATCCTCTGTGCATCCCACAGCTCAGTCGTCCCACTGGCTCATCACCCTGCAGAGCAGGCCCTGTCCCCACTTGCCAGGGCTGGCCAGTGGCCTTGTTCCCCCGACTCTGCAGCTCACCCCCCACCTGGGAGCAGACCTGCCCCGGAGCCCTCTCTGAGCCCGCAGCATGAAAGGAGCTCCCCGCAACCCCCACCGCCACCCCTGGCCTGCGCTCCAGCCCCGCTGGCTTCCCATGCCCGAAGCTGCACACAGGTGCTTTCCTCTGCCCAGAACACCTCTCCCTGTTCTCAGTTGATAGCTGGTGAAGAAGGCCAGCTTCACCGGCCAGACTCCTCCTGCCAGGGAACTGCTTCCCGGAGGTCCCATTGGTACGTTTCACTCTGTGCCATAAAGCAGCCATTTATTATGCTCATGGTTATGTGGTTCAGGGATTCAGGCAGGGCACAGACGGGATGATTTCTCACTGATAACTCTGTCATCTGAGGCTTTGGGAGACTCAAAGACTGAGAACTATCTTGTCCACTAATACCATGCTGAGACCTTAGCTTGGGCTATCAGCCAACACCTAATGCGACCTCTTCATGTGGCCTGCACTTCCTTGCGGCCTGCCCGCTGGGTTCCAAGAATGAATGTCTGGAGGAGGGAGTGGGTGGGTGGGACCCAGGTGGGTGCCATTTCACCTTTTATGACCTGGTCTCAGAAGTCACAGAGTATCACTTCTGTCACATTCTATTTGTCAAGGGAGTCACAAGCCCACCCACTTTGAAGGGGAGGGAAAATGGACTCCACTTTTTGATGGAGAGGACAGTGTCCCAGAAGCACACATGAGTCTGGAAGTTTGCTGTGGCCACTTTTGGAGAATAAAATCTGTCATGCCCACTCACCGCAGGCTACTCCAAGGTAGCCAGAACGAGACCTCAGTCATCCTCTGGTAGACTAAGGCTGCTCCAGCCACACTGGAGAGCTTACAGGTGCCATCCAAACCCTACAGTACTTGTAGCTGATCACTACTCTCCTCCAGGAAACTTTATGTGATGGTTTTAAAGCATACCCCAAAACTCTTTGACACTCCTCTCGAGAGCCCCTTGAATCTTGGCTCTGTGACCTCTCAAACAGCACGATACGGAGGACAAGATACAATGACAGTTTCTGGGGCCCTGCCTTAAGAAGACTAGCAACTTCTACTTCCTGTCTCTCGGTACA